TCATTAGTCTAGTTGAAATAATCACGCCTAGAAATTATGTTGGTTTGGATGTTGTTGTTTAATATCACTGAAAAATTAACCCACGTTCCTTTTCTTTTTTCAGCAATTAGTCTCCAGCAAACTGTTGTATTCATAATATTACACCATGAATCATATGTATGTACGTACATGCATGGATCCACGTGAACTCAGTGAGTCTTGTTCTCTCCGAATTAAAAGAAAAGAGAGGAGTTTTCAAAGCACAATTCTAAGTATTGCATGAATCAGTGAGGAATAATACATTTTAATGTAGAAATAAACAATTTCTTAATACAAAAATGAACTTTCCCTTTATCTCTTCCATTTGAGAAAAATAATTAATTATATAATTTATATACTATTGACTTCTTTGATTAGTTATTATTTCCCATTTGGTTTCTTTTTAATTTCTCGAAGGTTGTTGTTACTAAGCTCTTTTGTTCTTCTTCTTCTTCTTCTTCTACTCTGGAAAGCGTCATGAAATTTAAACTATTTTTGCCGCCCCCCCCTCCTTCCACATTTGGTTACAGTTCATCATCACTTTAATATTGTTATTATTTAAATTGCACACAATGATTCCCTAATCTGTGATGTTGTTGATAATGATCATATTTCATGTTCTTACTATCTTGTGTTTTTTTCTTCTTTCTTGTTTGTCTTTTGCTGAACGTTTTGTTCAGTTGTCAATATTGATGAAATTCTTCCTTCATCCCCATCTTCATCTTATTATTTTGGCAATCTCTGTTTATTTTAGTTAATTTGTTGCAAGAATGTTCTAAGATTGAAAACAAAAGTACACACATACACACAGTGACAAAAGTGTTTTTTTATTTCCCCCTATTTTTAACCGGTATTTCTTTTGGTGTATATGTGTGTGTGTGTGTAAAAATCATAAATACACATGGCTAAATATAAGTTTCTCTTTAATGGTGATTTATTGTCGATGTTGTGTAAATATCCGATATTATTATGGTTGTTCAGACTTTATTGTATACCACTTATGTGTTAATTAGATATAGTACCTGAATCGTGGTGTTATTGTTTATATTTTGAGTATGGAACCTAACACCTTAAGCTAATATTATCACCATTATCTTACCTAGCAGTAGGCTATTTGGTTTTAAGTCTCCATATGTGGATATCAAAACTATGATGTAGATATACTGGTTTGTTTAAATCAGACAAAACTCGCGTTCTGTACTAACCATTATTACAAAAATATCACCAACCTGTAGCCAAAAGGATAGGTTGTATCGAGGCATCTGTAGACAATAAGATTTTCAGTGTGTTAGGTTGAGGCTGGATCATGAAGGTACTTAAATGTTTGTATTGTCCCGAAATGCCCGAGAGTGGGGAGAGTCAGCTCTCCTTTTCGAAATGTCCTCATATGGCCACGCGGATATAGCCTCTGCCAGGGAAGTCCTACTCACTGCCTTCTCGCAACACGAGTGCTGTTTACGAAATTGAGAGGACGAAAAGCGAATGTTTGGCGCTTTAACCGGGTTGGTGGACACGGAGAGTTGAGAAACCCTGATATCAAACCAATGATGTGCATGGGATCCAGAAGGAACAGATGTATGGACCAACCGTTGGTCACCTGCTTCGATGGGACTGCATCTCCTTACGTTGCTCCACTGCGTTGTGGGTTAAATTTTTAGGTTAAAGGCTCGAGGTGTGGCTCCCCTAAGAAAACCACCAGCTCCGGTTTGGGGGTGCGGGCAGTATCGCAGCCCTCACACAAATCGAACGATGAAGTGTGGCACATATCTATTTTGTGCCTCTTTGTACCAATATTTATGTGTTTAAAAAAATAAATGTTTATATTGCTTATTTCCATTTGTTTAACGATAGGACAGATTATACATTTGTATTGCAATTAGATCAATTAATAGCATAAATGAGAATTTTCAGTAGGGAAACATTGTTTCCAGCACAAATCAATCATAATTCATACTCAGATATAGCAGCCGCATTCGACTACTGATTTTATATACCTCCTATCCGGTATCTAGCTCTGAGGTACATTTCATGTAAGATGACTAATCGGCTGTTCGATTTGAAAGGTGTGCAACGCGGTTAAGTGATTTGACGGCTAAATCACTTTAGGACCATTTCTACGTAAGATGGGGGTTTATATTTTAGCAGCGATAGCGGTGCAAATTCAGCAATTATTTCGTAAGAACATCTTGTCCTAATGAAAGATATTAAAAGAAATTCTTTGTGAAACTATGATGTGCAGTAAAAATATCCCTATGCAGCATACAATAATAACAATACAATCGCACTATTAGTAATAAAAAAATGGAAACTTCATATTGTGATCGACATTTAACGGAATTGTGGATGATGCGTTAAAGCGGTAGTTACTAAAAAGAAGGTCCTATCCTAAGGAACACTTCCATAGTAACATACATCTTGAAACCGGTTCCGTTTAATAGGTGGGTAAAGAAGTGATAACTAAGAGAAAAGTCACTGGAACTTAATTAATATAGTCGTTAGGTAGAAAATACCAAGAATACTTTAAAGGTAGCAGTTGCATTCTACGTTGTTTGTCGCTGTGTACTGCTTGGGCATTCTACCATCTTACATAATGCAGTTTATATCAGCACGCGACACTATATTATCCAAAGCTAGGGAGCACTAAATACCAGCAACCGCTCCTTTTCTTTACTGGTAAAAACCCAAAAGCTTGATAAAAATCACTATCGTTATAGCGACAAAGAACCAACTAGGGGAACGTTAATAGCGACGACTGATATTACCAGGGATAATAAAGCTAAACTAGTAGCATTCATTTCCTGATAGATTATGAGGAAGACAATACTGTGGTACCATTCATATTCACTAATCCTTACGATTACTACTCAATGCACGTGTATAGATAACAACCTTAATTTCCAGCTTATGTACACCATTTACATGGGTATTTATTATTGCAATAGTGTAGCTTCTAATGAACGTTGCTTTGTGCACGTATAATCTTCACACACTGGTTTGAGACAAATGTTATACGTAGTGTTAGCTTGCATGGTTTAGGAAATCTTAACTATACGAGTTTTGTTTAGTGACACAAACTGTCACTAAAAAAATCCTTCACGTTGACCCAACTTCATAACACAAAACATAACCCTGTATATCACACAGTAAAAACGTATACCAACAGTTTATAAGGAACTTCTTAATTACAACATTGATATTAGAATAACACATGCTTCTCAGACATTCAATAAATTTACTAATCACGTCCTACATAATTTTAGACTCAGATGCACCTGTATTTTTTTGAATGAATACACTTGATTCCAGGCTCTTTACGAAGATCACCTCATTATGAAGTTGCTAGTTTACATGAATGTGCAGATATTTCGCAACCAACCATAACAACCACATGCCAAAATGTCGGATAAATTACTTTTGTTTCAAAGTGCGTGTTTGATAAATAAATCATCAAAGATAATAGGAACTCGATAGTATATAACTTTTAGTAAGAAATGTAGTCAGAGCGTCCTACATACAATAAAGCTCACTGGGGCCAATTTCGAGTCACATTGGAAAAGAGCCAGAAAATACTAAGTCTTCACTTCGTCAGAAAAGAAAACTAAGAACGATATTCAACTAAGTATCCTGAACATTGGATCGGTACCCGATAAACATGAACTTATAAGCACTTAGGACTAAGTCTAAAACAGGTTAAATCGGTGCAAGCCCATACCCTGATACGTAAGTTTCAAGTTAGCTTGTCAAATAAACCCTACCACCAAAAGGAAAATGGAACCAATTGTCACTTAATAAAAGATACAAGTATGATCAATATTATTATTTAATCGACAGACAGCTTGTATTGTTCATGTATGATGATGATAATAGTAACACTAAATACACTGATGACTTCAGGACTCCCATCGCCATCATAAGTTTAATGTTTTCAAATAAACCCTAGCATTTGGCGAAATATTGCAAAAATAATATAAGGACCGATAACTTAGGAGGTGTAAAGTCAATGCAACCAAATTTAGCTTACTCAAGATGACATGCTTCCGGTTTATTATCGGTTGTGAAGATATAGTAGGCCAATAACAACTTTGAACGACTCTCTGAAAAGTGGTTTTCTCAAGGCGAGAAACCACCAATAATTCTAACGTCAATCCCGTTCATCTAAGCTTTTCATTTACTCTCATCACACTTTCGCTACTCTCAGATTTTTGTTCGAAGCCATACCGTTACTTTCAGTCCTTGCTAAGGAACATTTTTAAGTAGCTGTCGAGCTATTTCTCGGCCAAATACAATCCTTCAGATCATCATGAAATCGGTCATGAATGTGATTCGCCAAACCCGAGTAAAAAAGTACCCACTTAAAGAGAGCATCTATTGAAATAAAGCAGATATCGAAACATCTCGCTAATCAGCTTCAAGTGTCAAGAACGTATCTATAATTTTCACATCACCACCGAAATATTTAGTTGTATGTCGAGGACAACTTTTCTGAATATTCAATACAAATAATGTAAATTTGATATAGCATAGGTGAGTCACACCAAGATAGCACCATACTAATGGGCTTCTGTATAACTTTAAAACTAGTTAAAATTTATCACGAAATCAGTATAAAATTCTGAAAATAATCATCCACATTGAGGTTACAAACAAGTGTACACGGGACAACAAGATTCTAGCTTTTTTTCACGACATTGGTTGCAATGAATTACTACTAGAATTGGGAGAAACACAACCTCCTTGAAAAGTTTGCGGACAGATAAAATGGAATCAAGAAAGGATTAATCCTTATCTAGTAACGTAATTAATAGTTCATTGAGTGATTACTATATGCTTGATACTGAAATCGACTACACAGGCGAAATATTACCATACAAAAACCAACTGAGATGAACTTTTGACGTATAGGTAACACAAATGAATAGCATATTCATGTACTAACAATATTGTGGTTCAAGGCATTAATTAATTTTAATAACTCAACACATGAAATACGAAGAAAAATTTATTCCACAAAATAATAAGCTTGTCACATATCCATTAACGCTTTCCACCAACTCTAGGAGCAGCCTTCTGAGTGATCTTAGTAGCTTTTTGTTTTGGAGCTACTTGAGGCTTTTTCTTTTCAACCTTTTTCACTTTCTTCTCCATTTCTTTTTGCTTTTGTTTTTCTTTAGCTGCACTAAATTAAGGTTGGACTCAGAAAAAAACTAACTTACCGTATGGCTTGGTCACGCATCGCCTTGCGAACTTCTGGCTTTTGATTACGTTTAGCCATGATTTCAGCTAAACTTGCCCCTGCAATACCTCGAGCACTCTTAGTTACACGTTTTGTTCGCTTTTTCACTAGTTCTTCACTTATCCCTTTTTTGTACTTCCTTCGGTAGAGCACCGTCCAGCTTATCTCACGCGGATTACGCTTTAAAAAATGAGACCGTTCGCATTTCTTGTTTATGAAGTAGAACCCACGACCGTCGATGCGTACAGCGCGTTTTCCGTGTCCCGGATAAACTTTGAAACCGCTGTAGGAACAAACTTCCAACCTAAAGTTACAATGATTGATTTAAATAAACACGAGCCTGGTGGGTACAAAATGTTACATGAAACATCTACTACAAACTGATTAGCATAAACTGCAGATATAAAAATACAAGGCGAAACCTCTTCACACCAATCTGAATAAATTATCAAGCTGTAAGCCTAGAAAACAGTATACTGAACATCTAGCTTATTGCAAACCTCTAACAAGAATCAGTGATTAACGCAAAAGAATAAAGCATGTTAATGAGGACGATCTATCCCCATTTGGAGAGAACTTTCCTGCAAACATAACAGCTGAGCATTTATGCAGCGACTAATGTCTATGTCGATCAAGTTAAAACAGCAGTGACACGAGGACACATACTAGCTCAAAGACAACCATTATGACAAATACCCATTACTTTGCCAATACAGTTTCTAAAACTAGGAGGTGTGAAAAAGGTTTTGTTGGATGCACTACTCAGAATCAATATGTTAGAAACATTACTGACAAATGGTATATTAAGACTATCTACTGTTTAAAAATGGCATGAGCTGACAGTCTGATATAAATTATTAATCCTTTTATCATAGACCCTTGATGTAAAAACAGCCTGTACAACTAATAGTACTTCTAATAAATCAACTTGATTAACACTAGCAAAAGTACTACCGAACCATTTACAGAAAACAAGTGAACCCACTTCATCCTCGTGGTAACAACCGCTCTAGTAGTGAGTAAAACAAGTTAGCATATAACCTTGATCATTTTAAACAAAAAGTCACTTAATAGCAAAGTTCTTCTAAAAGACTTTTATGACTGATAGATTATACTACAAATGGTCGAAATGGTTCACTTAAGTATTATTCTTCAAATTTTATGGCTAGCCAATCAGTTTTGTTGTTTTAAGGAGGACGTTTCAGCAAAAATATGAATTCTAAACTCGCATATCTTGTCTAAACTTTGACGAAGAAACATGCTGTTTATTGTTGGCAAGATTATGGCGAAGCTGAATAAACCAAAAAGTGTTTCAGCTTCCCCTGATACTGCCAACAAATATGGCATTTTCCTCCGAATATATATTCACAAAGTATTCGTTCGACCGGTAAGTCAAGATAGCTCTTAAACTTTTTTATTTAATATAAACCACAAAACCATGAAACGTAGTACGTCATAGCTTGAAGCTGGCCACAAAAAGTGTTGTATGTAATGACCCGGGGATTACATATCGTAAAACATGTCCTGTACAGAAATCTATTTTTTTAAAGTTCTGGTTAACAAGATGATATGAATTCTCAGATCCAGTGACTCATCGCCTGGTGCATCATGCGATGGTAAAGCGATAACCCAGTTATCTGTCCGATTAGCTAACTAGTTGACTGGATACCCACCATGTAACTGTTTTGGAAAAACATGAACCGTAAGACAGCAGTGGAACACTAGATGACACGCATCATTCGTTCAATGAGTCACAACCTTACGGTGAATCTCGTATATTAAGATAAATCATCAAAATTCATCTCCCGAGATGTAGGCTTACTTTTCGTATTGTTTACCTCTTATGAATGAAACGACTAAAAAATAATGTCAAAGCTGTATCATCTGAAACCATAAAAGATCGTGTGGTCCTGAAGCGATCCACAGACTTCATTATTCTAGCCGAAAATCAATGCCAGAAACACAAGATAAATCTTCAACCGGTAGTTTTCGGCAAGCCTTTTAACTTCGAGTGTTTCATTACTTTGATATTTACAGCTTACGACAATAATATTTAACGACCTACAGAACTCATTCTTGATGGATCTTAAAAATGTTCTTAAATTACAAAACATGGTATCAAAGAGACCTAGCTTTATCCAGCCTTGTCATCAGAGCCCTAGGTAGTATAAATAGCAGAACTAAAAGCATCGGTCGACAACTCACTAAACGCTGAAAATTTCGTTACATATGAGACATAACACACTACGTTAGCTGATAATGATCGTCAGATTACTTATATGAATGGTTAGGATTATTTAGTTTAATTAGAGAACTTTCTAACGATCGAAAAAACCCTTTATAATAAAGTAGACTGATATGTAATCGGCATTGAACCAACTCACTTTAACACAAGCATCGTACCACAAGCTTTGCCCTCCATGAGGCAACCCTAGAAAATTACGTCAGAGAGCTGAAACCCAGACGCGTCACCACTCTTTCTTACTAACTGTCGCTTCTTTAATGAATGCTTTGTCAGACAAAGAGCACACTGCCTATTGGATTATCAACCCCTGCTTTGACTGGCTGTATCTAATGCACTTTAAGCAGTGTATCTATCATTACCACTACCATATACCATCAACCTATCTTTAGCTCATTCTTCGTCATCTTTTTTCACTTACATGTTTGTGTGTTCAGATTGTTCGCGTAATTAATTACCCTATGTGCTACTTCCTACAAGCAGATTTTTCGCTCTCCTGGCTTCAACGTTCTTCTCTATTAATTTTCGTATAGCAACCAATCAACCTCTCACATGATAATGTGACAACTGCTGGATCAAGAAACCCTACTGCACTGAAATGAACACGATTGTTCACAATATTGGGTACATAAACTAACAAATAAATACCAAACTGTGTAGAACCAGCATAGTGAAACGGTCAAATGAACATAATTAAGACCTGTAAATTTGCCGACACATCAGGAAGCTAGCCAGAAAAATTTATCTGGTTTGCATAAGCTCATCAGTATGATACTAGATACTGGAATACGTTTATGTGATATGCTAAATTGTATAGTACTGCAATAAAATTCTAAAGTTCACTGAAAATTCAAATTCAATTGGTCGAGAACTTAGTGAATCTTTGTAAAACGCAAAGAAAACATTTGATTGATTATTTTTAGGAAATTTATCTAGAACGACTAGTTAATGTTTCAGTGGCCTTCAGCATATGGGTGTATTGTATTTAACATAAACGTGTATCTTTTTACGGTGGCATGTCATTTGGACAGCATGAAAATCTAATTGATGAAATGATGAGAAGATGCGTATGTGATTCGCCATTCATATACCATCTATGATTGGCCACTATCATATTGAAATTTTCAATATGTCATTACTTTATCACAGACAGAAAACAGATCTACTGTTCGTCTTCTAAATCCCGGCACTAGTTTAAAACTTGGCTTAGATTTGATAACATACGCCATCTAATGCTCCCGATAACTAGGTTTATTTCCACATCACTTAATTCAGTCGCTATACAAAATACCAAATGAAGAAGCTTTGGAAATTGAGAATAACCCAATAGTTATTTCTTTGTAGTTTACCATTCTTCAGAGTCACGTAATCCCGACAATCAAGTATTGAGGTCGAGTGAGAATCGAGTAACTTGAAATAAGTCAGTTCATAATTTTGAATCCATATCTTACGTCGCCGACGAACTACTGCACTCCTCCAAGACCGCGGCAATTTCATGTATCAATAAGATATTTTTAATCTTTGAGTGGTTTTTATCATGAAGTTCAACTATCCAGGAAAAACTATTCAGGGGGAGGAAACAATAAATAAGTCTATTATGCCAATACATTACTTTACAGCAAAGAAAATCCATGAAACTCTACAGTATCGACACCATAGTCTTCATGTCTCATGGTTAGACCAACTGAGTTGGAGTCAGAAAGTTACCTATTCCTTCCTGCTTTGATCAGTTCACAACATTATGTGACCCTATTTCTTACTAATCAGTATCCAGTGATTCTTTTACTAATATAAAATGGTGAAGACAAGTATTTTCAGACTCTCCATATCTGTAAAAACTAGATAATCTTTTTTATAATAATTATAGCACGATTAGTTGCGATGTGGAGTTACCGAAAACATTAAATAACATGAAATTAGAATTACGGTCCAAAACTTTGAAATGTAGAAACTGACATTTTACTCCTATACAGATTGATTGGTACAAAGTAGCTAATATCACGTCTATTTAGAGATTAATTTCTATCCAGTGGTTAATTAATGTAATGTCTCAGTTCCTTAAAAACTCTGACTCGAACATCTTAGTAATAATATCGCTAAATATAATGCTAATTGACATGGTGATGGGTCCTTAAATGACCATTGGTTTTCTCATAAAACTATAGGTGTATGGAACCCAGATCAATTATGTTTTCTTACTGATTGCCACCAAAACATCTGTCAGTTTGTGAGGTTTTCACAGATTTCAATTCGATAAATCAGAATAAACAGTCAATAATCGCTTATTCATTTGTTTCGAAAGATATTCAGTGTCTAATTATTTGCAACCGGTATTATCTACATTGTCCAGTAAGGTTTGTTTGTTTTGCTGTTGTTGTTGTTGTTGTCTGCAAAATAAGTTCATGTTTTAATATTTAACCCGGTTAAATGATGAATTAATTACTCTGTTTTCTCCTATAAAGATAAGATCACCATCAGAATCAGAATCAGAATCATAGTAATTCATGTATACATATCTATTGATTTCTTTCATTTACCATAAGACTAGTATCATTACCTTGGTAATTTGTATAGCTTAATTTCACAATATACATCATTGAATTGGTTTGCATATATATCTTATCTTTTTTTTCATAAATCACCTAAATGTTGGAGACAGACAATACAAATAGAATCCTTCAATAAGGTCAAAAATTGATCAACTGTCCAAATCTCGAACAGGTTGTTTAATTTTTATTAAATGACTGTATAAAGTTGTGTATAGTACATAATTAAATAAAATACCGAAAGTAAACAGTTTCACAAATCGATTGATAGAAGAAACATTTAACAAAACGTTAGATTCATGATTTAGGAAAGGATATTCGAATGAATTTTCACCAACTTCTTAGACTATTGAGTCGGTATTCATTGAATTGACTGCATGGTCAGTGTACTGTATGTTGAACCCCCAAATACCCTGGTACGGCCAACAATGGGGAGAGTCAGCTCTCCCTCTACAAATTCTCTCACATCACATGTGCATACAACCACTGACAGGGAAGGCTTACTCACTGCCTTCTCTCACCATGGGTGTTGTTTACGAAATTGAAAGGACGGAAAGCGAATGTCTGGCGCTTTAACCGGATTGGTGGATACAGCGGATCCACATAGGCGAGATGGAAAGCCTTCATTCCATACCAATAGTGTACATGGCCTCCAGTATCCTGATGGAACAAATGGTGTATGAACAAATCGTTGGTCATTGGCTACCATGGGACTGCATCTCCTGACGTTGCTCCACTGCCTTGTGGATCAGACCTTCAGGTCGAAGGCTCCGGGCGTGCCCTCATAAGAAAACTACCTGCTTTGGTTTGGGAACCTGGGCAGTATCACAGCCCTCACACATATCAAATGAGATCTGTGTGGCGCATATGCATTTAGTGCCTCCTTGTACCAATATCTATGTGTTAAAACAAATAAAACTGTATGTTGAAGTAAGATAGATCAAGATCATTTTCTTTGAGATATCAAATCTCATTCACTAGTTACTATTCTTTATCACTGGTCTACTCTTATTCTTGAAAGAATTAATGCTTCATGTAATATTTGAATCAGCATTATCTATTTTCATGCTTTGAGACAATACCATTGAGCTAATAGAGTTGTGAATAACGTCGAGTAAAACTCAGATATTTACAATTGATCGATTATTGAGATCATGAGTCAATTGAAGCTAGACCATCATGGAAAACCTGGAAACACTGGATGGCCGTTTTATCCCTTTTGTGGAGCTCCTCAGCCGTAAGTATCTACGATCCCGC